TACATTTTATAAACTTATATTTAAGTATTAGCATCCTTACTAATAAAGTTTTCATGAAATTCTTTTTCATATGAACATTCTAAGTATCTTTAATATAAAAAATTACAATTCTTCTTAAGATGAATAGAAAATAAAAAATTTTAGACTTGAATACTGGGTGTTCTTATATTTTTAGTTTTAATCTAAGTTATCTAAATTTTTTTTAAGCTATGCTATTATATTTATTAAATTAAATTATAGATATTAATAAGTTAATATCTACCATAAGTCATATTTTTATGTCGTAAAAGAGTAACTTGAGGATAAGTAACATTTAAGTTTGAGGGATTTTGATACACCGAAAATATGTACAATTTTATGTATACATTTTATGCTTAAATTTAGTGATATTGCACTTTAAAAAAGGTAATTTTTGCATTTTGTTGCAGGTATATTGATTTTAGACATTTGGAGCAAAAAGAAAGAAATTTGGAATCAAAATGCAGTTTTCCAGCAAGCTAGCGCCAGAGGCGCTATTTTACAGAGAAGTAGTGCCAAAGGCGCCAGAATCCAAAGAGGAGCGTGGAACTCTAGTAAACATAAGCCATAGGCACCAAAGACAAATCTAACAAATTGTTGGCAGTTATTGATTATTTTTAGAGGTTCTAGAAGACACCAAGTAATTTAAACGCCCCATGGAGTGGTTCAATACATCTAAACACTTGAGTAAAGCTCTTGAATGAAGAGATATATGTCTTAAATGAAGGGATTTGTCTCTTGATGTGAAGAGGTGTGCCTCTTGAGGAAAAATGAGGGAATTTTGAATTTCTTTAGAGAAAGGGGACTGGCGCCACTCTTAAGAAATATAGGAGGTCTTGGAGTGTGCGGCGCATGGAGTCATTAGAGGGGACTAGAGAGTTATGATTTGAAGAGAGTTTTCTTCTAGAGATTGTAAGAGGAGAGGAAAGTGAGAGATTTCTTCTTCATTACATTTCTAATAGAGAATTTAGTGTGACTGTAAAGAGAGAGTGCTTCAAGGGAACATCAAGAGATTTTCTAGAGGGGTGGTGGAGATATGATGTGTTCTTTCTTTTCTTTGTTTTGTAAACTATTTTTATATATAAAATTCATGTTTTGTCGTCCTCATAAATTCTGAGTTGTCTTCTTTGTCCTTCTAGTGGAGATATGATGTGTTCTTTCTTTTCTTCGTTTTGTAAACTATTTTTATATATAAAATCCATGTTTTGTCGTCCTCCTCATAAATTCTGAGTTGTCTTCTTTGTCCTTCTCCCTACAATGACATATGATTCCCTACAAGACATATGATTTTATGAAGAATTAATATTGTTGTGCGGGGTTTTAAATGTCAATAAATTTTGATGATTCAAAGTTTGATTTTCATTTACTTTTTGATCTGGCTAATTGAAATATTAAAATTTTTTAAGGAACATAAGTTCTGACAAAGCTATGTTTTCTACAACAAGGTGAGAGTCACATTCAATTTCATTGGTGAGAATGTAGTTCATGGAGTTGAGTGCAAAAAAATAATGAAATATATTTTGATGGAAATAGAATTTGAGATTTTAGGATGAAAGACTAAAATCCCCAATTTGGTCTAGTTGCTTGTAAACGAAAGCGAGATGGTTAGCCCTCAGGGTAGGAGGAAGTGGGAGCACTAAAGTGGGAGCTAGTATCCTCTCAGCCTAGCCATGGATTTAGGGACAAAACTCTGGATTAGCAAATGTTCTTTATGCACTCGACATATGGTAAAGAATAGGATTGCTCATATTTGGCATAATATAATTTTAAACAATTTTAAATGATTTTAATTACTTCACTAACAACAAAATCATTATAAAAGAGAAGGATGTTTTCTTAAATTTGAACTCTTCGTTACAAAACTTTGTTTAATATTAGTAAGTTTAACTTTGAAGTTTAGAAATTAACTTAGTTAACTTAGTTCTTTTAGCTACATTTCATTTTGCATACATTAAATTTACTTTGAATTTGTTTCTTTCTTAAGTTTATAGTTTGATTATTGTGTTTAACATTATAACCATAAGAATTTTCATTTCTCTGTGGGATCGAAACTTAAAACTCAATTAGAGCCCTTTATTATTTCAATGATACATATACTTGCGTGATTACTAGGATTTGCAGCTTAAAGATTTTAAAATATAAAACTATTCATACTGAAGTGATTTTAATTGTGATTGATATGTATTTTTACTACATGTGTTGTCGTGTGTGTGTGTGTGTGTGTTATAGTATTGAAAGATATTTATAATTCATACATAAAATTTGCGATCACAGTCCTATAAGCCCATAGTGCAGAATCAAGTCTATCAGACCAATCAGTTTTATTAGGATTTACAGTTTTTCCAAAATTCTTTTAATTTCTCAAATTAATACTTTTGTTAAACCACGGGTCTGTGAGTGATAAGTTGTGGAAATTCGATGTTTAATCCCATATTTCTTAAGTAATGTGTCAATTTTAAAATTCTTAAAGTGACTTCCCCCATCAGTAATGATTACTCTTAGCATTCCAAATTTGATAAAAATATTTTTGTTTAAAAATTTTGAAACACTCAGAGCATCACAATGGGGCTAATAAGATATAAATTTTTATTGAAGATGGTACAAATGGTCCCATTAAAATCTAAACCCCATACGTAAAAAGTTTCAACTTCCAAAATAAAATTTAGGAGCATTTCATCTCTTTTAGAAATATTGCATACTCTCTTATATTGATCACAAGCTTTCAAATATGTATTAACATCCTTAAACAATGTAGACCAGTAAAATCCATAGTGTAAAATTTCAAATGCAGTCTTATTCACTCCAAAGTGTACCCAAAATCAAATTTATGACATTTTGTATAATTTCCTGGGTTTCATTAATTGGTACACATCATTGAGGGACCGATTGAAGGACCGAGTCTCGATATTTTTTATATAAATAAGGGTCATTCCAAAAGTAAAATATTGCATCGTAAGTAAATTTGTTCTTCTGGTGGCTTGTTAGTCCGTGCGTTAAAATGCTACCAAGTAGTTAACTATATATACATATCACGGTATATACATTCAACAGCAGCATAGAGTTGTTCATCAGGAAAATTTTCATTTATATCATCCTCAATGTTTTTTTTTTATTTTATTGTTCAAGTCTTGATAGATGATCAACTATTTGATTATCAGCACCTTTCTCCTTGGCACCTTTCTCCTTCAACCAGCCAGATAGCTACGCTTTTTTTTAGTAACATTATCTTTGAGTATCCAGGTTCACCTTTCTCCTTCGACCAGCCAGATAGCTACGCTTTTTTTTTAGTAACATTATCTTTGAGTATCCAGGTTGTCAATTCATGCATTGTAGGTGGAGTAAAATCAGATCCAAACTTAACAACTTCATAGGCATATAATATGGGTCAGTGGCAACATTAAATGTTAATCCTACTAAGTAGCAGAATTTACCAATTAACTACATGCTTTTTTTTTTCTTTCTTCTTTTTTTCCACTTGGAATTTAGAAGATGGTGAAAGAATCCATTGGACCTCTAACTCAAGATGGCTTCTGCGTGGAGTCAAATAATGATGAATTGGTGGCATTTTTACTTTCATCAACATTTGTTGCACTGCTTATAATCTTACTGAATAAACTGTCACATTGTCCTTTAACTTTTGCATCTTTTTCTAATGCCTTCTTACATGGTGCATGGTTTAATGCCCTTGTGTGTGCTGGCAAGATGTTGCTTCATCCTATTTACTAGTCCACTACACACTTGATTACAAAACTAACATCTGAAATACTTTTCATTAAGTATGTTTGTTTTATATTGCCACACAAAGTCCTTACGAGTGTGGCTACTACCAGTCACACAATCTTCCTCATCCATTACAACATTGCGGTTTACTACAAACATGAAGAAAACTAACAAATTTGTGGTTTACAATAGCAAGAGTATTCTCTAGCAAATGTTTAAAATGAAAAAAAATCTGTATTTTATTGTAACTATAGTGAAATTATTGTAGCAAACAGAAGGGCCTGTGATGGCAGAATTGCCTGCATGGGAGACGAAGCAGACGGTCATTCAAGCGGTATGAAGCAATCCTTCATCGGGACGAAGAAGATGATGTGAACGCCTGCTGTGGGAGCGAGGAAGCAAACGACGGCGGGATCTTCTGTGACTCTATGTGGAGGGAGGAAACAAAGGGTACGAGAGTCGTACTGGAGACCTCACACGATGTGAATTGGGTAAGTATGCCGAATTAGGGATATTTTTCCCATTTTATTTGATTAATAGGTGGGGGTCATTCCTACACTTACGCCCTGTGAGGCCGAAATTACGCTTCGAGCATTCCCAGGTTTATGCCCCGTGAGTTTTACGCCCTGCTCATAAGCTTGGATAAACTTAAATTTGTACCTTTAAAGAAACATCCACATAGATCTACAAGGATCTCTTTAATAATGCAACTCATGGTTGCTGGCAATAATATTTCAGTTAGATTAGGCCCAATACCTCTTCTGACCATGTAGATCAGAGACCAAGATAACCAAGAACGACGGAACACTAATATCTTGATCAAAGTCGTCATTATTTCCCCCCAACATCTAATTTAAGCTCCAAGTGATAAATTTTACAACATAATCATATTTTTGTTACTACTAAATGCTAAATCTTCATCGTTAAATGATTAGCCTTAATTGAAAGTGTTCTCCATATTATTGGGAGGAATAATTAACCATAAAGGTTTGCGCATCTGGGAAACCTCTAACCCTAGATCAAAAAGATCTCTCATGAATGAGGTGAAATCTCTGGGCAGTGTCTTATCTACAAAAATCTGAGTCTCGAAAAAAACAGAAAGCAAGACATCGGAATTTTGGGTCCGTAACCAGTACCATCATTGTCATTAATCTACTAATTTAGAATCAGCTTTTAAGAGTCCTCATTTTAAGCAATAAACACATTTCCTGGGTCATCAATTTTGTCAAGCGGGACTTAAGAGTATCTATAATAAACCAGGATAATTGGAATAACCCAAGTAGTTTTGGTCTGTGTAAACAGTGCTTGAAATACACTATGCACACAACGGATGTAAGCTCTCGTAAGCAATTACACTAATTAATCTAATTTACAAAGGAAGCAAAACTGTTTTGAAATGTAACCTACCGGAGGAAAACTGAGGCATGCCCAGTGCATGCCCTCCCATACTTCATTCACTTACGAGCTAAAATGCCTGCAGCAGTTCAAGAATTATGATAACTTCCAGCTAAATTCATGATTATCTCTTCTTGGTATTTGCAACTAAAGGAAACTCCACGAGAACAATAAAAGATGATCTCTCTGCTTCCCTAAGATATTGTACTGTGCCATTCATGATCTTCACAAGTTTCTGACTTAAGAACAAACCAAGGCCCTCCCTTGAAATGCCTGGATTTTGGTGAAACATCTCCTGCACCAAAGTTTCCGGAATGCCTGGTGCAGGGTGAATAATCCTGAATCAAAGACATCAGAATAGAATCAAACAATTTAAGAAGTTGACGATAGCCCGCCATTAACTGAGATTAAAATTTCACTTCATGTAAATAATAAGATGTGATTCAAATTTTACCTAACATCAAGATGGACGATCTGCACTCCAGTTGCTAGATTTTGTTTTCTTGGGATGGCACATAGAACTACTGATCCTCCAGCCTGTGGGCTGAACTGAATTGCATTTACAAGGATGTCTGCCAGAACTTGCTGAAGCCTTAAGTTGTCTCCATAAAGATACATAGACGAAATTTCTGCAGGAGAATCATGAACAAGTGAGATCTGACGTTCCCTGCTTAGATCCATCCCCTGGACAATGACCGCTTCAAGAGCGTCCCCAAGGTTAAATTCTACCATGTTCAGCTCCAAATAGCTGTTTAAGAAAAAGTAGAGCGAGCAAATTTCATTGGCCACACATATAAGTTAATTCGATAATTTTAAAAAGTTGAACAGTAGTAAACGGGATAATGAACCATTTCGTAGGACTTCAATTATGCCAGAAAAAAAAAAGTGTCGTGAGACTACCAGACCAAATAAACTATTAGACTATTCAAAGCTAACGAGTATGAATATATTTCTAAAATTATAAATGTAGTTAATTCATGCTTATATATTTCCAGCAAATATCACATCTAATGATACCACAATAGGCAGAAATTGCATGAAATATAATGCCAAGAAGTTTTAGTCATCATTAGCCTTATGCCGACATACAATAGAACATGGAAGTATACTCACGTATTTTGAATAAATGAATGTTCTAAACTATAACAAGACCATTAACTAAAATAATAATTATGAAATGTAGAAAATCTAATATAATGTTATTAAACTGATATTGCGGAATGATTAAAGTGTTGACAAAAAACCAAGTACAATACATGGAAAATAAAACCATAAGTTATATGTTAAACATCATATTAAAAGATGGGAAAACTACTATGTTGAGCGTAAAATAAAAAAACGGGAGAAAGGAAAAAATATAAATAAATAAATTAATTAATTAATTTCAAAAAAAAGATATCACCTCCTCCGGCAAGTTCAAGCCCGTGTCTAGCTCAACAACTGCTCCCGCTCTT